GAATGCGTGATAAAAAATGACTTTTTCCGAGACAAGAACCCAATATCTGGTACGTTTCTGAATTTACTGAGGCGCAAATTCGGTTGTCTCAGCCGACATATGACGTCTTTCGCCAAGCAGAATCATACTATAGGTGAGTACATTTCATCGATGTTATGAAAACCCACGTGAAAACCAGCTTGAAGAATCGAAAATAAGTTCCTTATAACGTCATCTCATAATAAATTACTATAGAAATAAATTCACAGATATCCGTATCGAAATCATAATATAGTAATAATAATCACGCTTCATCAGTTCCTTCATTGTTAACGTGAAAAGATAGTTAAAGATCAGAAACATAACTTTTCATCAAATTGGCTAATCTCTGATCTTAAAGCTAGTTTGTTTTGAACTGATCAGTTGGAGTTTCAAAGAGTTTTTGATATAGTTCCAACTGAATTCATACTCGAATTCATCTGTCATTCGATACCAACAGAACATGACCGCCGAAAACAGGAAGTTTTTCTAAATTTAGACATTAATTAACATTTGTAATATCAATATCAAAATTAATGTCTCCTTCACGGTTCCCTGCGCCATCTTGAAAGGTAGCCATGCCTTTACATCGAAACGAGACAACCGTTGAGTGTGCAATGATAGATACCTGTAAATAATTATCTGTAGGTGTGAAAGAAGGTTTTTATCATTGCACGCTCAACAGTCGTTTGACTTTGATGTAAAGGCACGGCTACCTTTCAAGATGACGCAGGTAACCGTGAAGGAGACTAACTATTGCCTTCTCATTTATGTTTTAAGCCAGGAGAGAAAAGAAATAAAAGAAAATGGCAACAAAAGTATCTTCAAGTCTTGAAGATCCCGTCGAGTGTCCCATTTGCCTCGACCAGTACCAGGACCCTCGTATCCTTCCCTGTCAGCACACCTACTGTAGAAAGTGCCTGGAAGGGTTACTGCATGAAGCGGACAGCAGCTGGTTTTCCATTCAATGCCCTGAGTGTCGGATGATAGTGCGGGTATGGATATACCTGGGAGAAAGAGACAAGGGAGGAAGGAATGAAGAAGGGAGGGAGGAGGGAGGAGGAGGAAGGAAGAGGGAGGGAAGAGAGAATGGAGCTCTTTTTGTCAAAGGGACAAGGGAGGAAGGAATGAAGGAGGAAGGAGAGAGGGAGGGAGGAGAGAGGAGCTCTTTTTGTCAAAGGGACAAGCGAGGAAGGAATGAAGGAGGAAGGAGGGAGGGAGGAGCTCTCTTTTGTCAAAGAGACAAGGGAGGAAGGAATGAAGGAGGAAGGAGGGAGGGAGTAGGGAGGGAGGAGCTCTTTTTGTCAAAGGGACAAGGGAGGAAGGAATGAAGGAGGAAGGAG